CCTTCACCCACCTGACCAACCGGCTGGGCCTCACCCATCCCCACAGTCACCCCCTCACCCATCTGCTGGGCCTCCCCCATATCCTCACACACAAGACTGACTCGCTGGTCCTCACCTGCCCCCTCTTCCTCTCTGGCCTCCCCCTGGTTCTGGTCCCGAGTGGAGGGGTTCTTCTCTGGACAAACCGTCGCCAGGTGTCCCTCTTCACCACAACGGAAAAACCTCCCATCATCCGATGTGGCAAACATCACATAGTCGAAGCCCTTGACCCTCATCACAGAGCCTGGGCTTTGGTGAGGACCATGTGGAGCTGTCTCCTGTGAGACACCTTCTTTATCTGGGACACCACCTCCCTGTGATTCACCAGCTCAGATAGAGGATAAATAGTTGGCTCCAATAATAGATTCGATATGGTTTGCTTGAAATCAATGTATGATAAAAGAGGTTCAAGTAAGGAAGTTGGAGAGATTAGAAAAAGCCGTAGAGAACGTCTCCATCCAGAAGTGATCTACCAGCTGTGCTAGCTAATACACAAGGCCTCCTCATATACTGCTGTACACGGGAAATCTCTAAAGAGACATTGTAGGTGTGCAGTTTGATTAATGTTTGTTTTAACATCTCGATCATCTCACAACTGACAAAGATGAAAAATGTATTAAACAGTTAAACGTTTTAGCTTGTTAGTTTATATTCAAGTATCACATGTATTACTTTAAAAGTGTACTTTTCATTTAGCAAACCAGTGCAAACAGGTTCACTTGTGCATTGATGAATCTGCTGGATTAAACACACAAGTTAAATGTTTAAAGTTAACATGGTTCAAATGTATAGGAAATGTACCCAATCCTGTTTTAGGTTTTTCCTTTATTCAAACCTTTATTTAAATATTTGGTCACTGTGCAACAAAGGACATGTCTTCTAGTAAGTGTTTTCTTATAGACTATAAACAGTTACATTACTTCTTCCCTGCAAATAAAGTTAATTAACTTACAGGAATCAGATATTGTCACACTAATTGGCCAGCTGGTCAGAGCCAATGAATGCAGTAATAGAATACAGCAGCTATAGCAAACGTACAATCAGGATTTAGCTCAGTGTGATTTAGTTTGTTCAGCTTCTTATTTCACATTATTTGCTTCATCATTTAACCTTTTCAATAGAGGCCAGCAGAGTTCCTCTGGTGTGGCCAGATGTTACTCTCGTTTCCCTTTTTTTTGTAATCCCAGAATTTTCTCTCACTGCAAGAAATCATCGTCCATCCAAAAGTGCTGCACTACGTTGTTCAGACAAACAGCCGATGTCGAGTGAGCCTGTGAGCCCACTGACCACGGTGAAACCACACTGCACGCTGCCTGCAAGCAAAAGACGCCCGCGTGCAGAGCAGAGCATCTCACAGTCAGGATGTGGTCACACATATGACAGAAATAACCTTAGTGTAGCTGAGAGGGCCGTTGGACATAAATACATCTAATTGACAAACGAGCATTCTTTTCAGTGAGCGAGTGGAGACTCTTACAACGAGAACAATTTAAAAAACTTTAAATATTTCCACGGATTACACTTCAGCAGTCACTGGTCCACAGCTTCAGTCTGTTGAGCTCTGCGGCCGAATGACGAGCTGTTTGTCACTGTGGGTTTCCTGTTATTAAGCCACTCAGTCATTGTATCTCACCATGCCGTTAAAGGCATGTGTGGGGCTGATGGCAAACTAGATATAAAAACTGAAAATCATCTGAAAACAGCTTTCGTGTCTCTTGATGGAAACACAATCATCACCGTCATGAAATGTTGATATCCATTGAAAATGTGAACTTGAAGCTGGATTGTGATCAACAACAACAACTAAGAGGTTTTCTGTCTGTATGTTAATGTGCCCATCTGATCAATTTGGAACTTAAATCTAAAGAGCAAACAAACCAGCAAAGATGAAATTCATTGGGTGTAAATATCTTCTCCTGAATTCAGTTTAGATGCAGTGTTGTTCTGACAGGACTGACGGCCGGGCGTCTCAATTTTATTGTCCTTGTTTTGTCAAAGGAGACATGTTCTGCTTAAGTTGAAGGCCTTTGCTGGTCGGTGTTATAGGTGCTGTGATCCCATCATTAGATGTTGTAGAGTCGTGGTCGTTATTTTTTCTTTTTTAGACTCTACATCCTCGAAGTATTGATGGCAGAATAGGTGCTGAAGTCAGAACTCTGGATCTTCTTCTTTGGTCTGTGTGATATCTGTTGGATTTCCAGTGCAGCATAGCACACATCTTCATCCTGAAATTTGACATTTGTTCTTTAGAATCGTGACCGTGTACTGATTTATTGCCATGAGTCAGTACTTTCTTGTGTTGCACCTACCCCATGCTGTCTTCTCTGAGGTGTTTGCTGATCAGGTTGTGGAGCTGCAGAAATCAATACAACATCAGTACAGACAGCGTGGTGCATCAACACTCAAACACGGATCCAAAGAAGAGACTTCAGGTGTCTTTGTGGTAGAAATGAATTCAGTAGATCAATGACATTTCTTACATTTAGCTCTTAAGGAGCGGCATACAGTAGTTACCTTCTTTCTCACACAGATGATAAACTAGAAGAGAGGAGAGGACGGAGGAGAGGACAGCAATAGCTGGACACAGAGAGACCAGCAGAGTCCAACACAGAGGACAGAGACATTCTGGAGTCTGGAGCGGAGAATCGCTGCAGTCTGGACCTGAAACAAAGTTGTGTCAATAAGCGTCATTAAACTCTGACCCACAACGATGAGACTAAACACTGTATGGATACATGTTGGCACAATAGTCATGTTGATGCTTTAGCTTTGTTCAGAACACAAACGAAATATATATGTTTTTCTTTATTAAATATATAAACATACAGGCCTTTGGTTCCTGAACAAACCTTTTTACATGTGCATAAAGCACCAGGAATGAAAAAACTGTTGTTTTGACTTGTTTGAATAAAGTTCAGCCGAGATTGTTAAGAATTCACACTTTTCATTGAGCAGAAAAAGATATATACTATATTGGCATTATTATTTGTGCAAAAATGTCCAAACAATTTAGAATTAAGTGAAATGTCCAACCTTTAATTGTGATGGAGCCTCAGATTTAAAATTTTCAATGATCCCAAACCTCATTAACATTCATAAAAATACAGTACAGTTCACATTTAAGGATGACCGAGAACTCTTCAGATTCATAAAGTCTCAGATTTGGGAATATAATTACTGGTATAAAGCATTATACTGTTTTATTTCATATTGTCTGTTGTTGATTCCCATAATCTTTCTGTAAGACGTCATATTGGTTCACCTTATTAATCGTTAATGTAAGTAAATATAGAGCCTGTGTACATTTTCCTTCAAGGTGTTAAATGTTTAGTCAAATCATACAACATAGATCTAACAGGAACAAAGTCAGAGCAGCAAACTTACTGATTGAGATCCTTGTTGTGACGTTTCCGTTTCTGTAAAGAGTTTTGGGGCCAATGAATTCTTTATCCTCCACTTTACTCTCTTCAGTTCCACAGTAGTAGAGTCCCTCATCAGAATCAGTGATGTTCATGATCAGCAGGTCATAAGAATTAGAAGAAGAGTTTCTCACAAATTGAAAATGATGAAGAACTTTCAGATAATCTTTAGTGTCACTGTCCAGATTGTATGATGATTTGACTTTAAGGACGAGAGGAGGCTGGTTCTCATGAGAGCAGTTCCTGTACCACACTATGAATACTCCAGATGATAGTTTACAATCACAGTAGAGAGTGATGTTGTCTCCTGGTCTGACTGTCACTGATCCAGAGATCCAATCATGACTGCAGGATGCAACTCCTGGAAAACAGAGAAAATGGTAAAAGCAGATTGAAATGTGCTCCGTGTTGGATGATTTCACATTACAGCAGGGGCAGATTTCTGCTCAACACAACAACAATGAGAGCGTAATTAAAACATCCAAAATAAGTCTCCATAGACTTACCTAAGAGAGCGACTAGAAAAGTGTGCAGCCCGTCCATGAGTGATGATGACCGAAAGTTAACAGACAGACTGATTTTACCCAAAGATGTGATGCCTTTGAAGACAACGTGTTCAATGTGATTGGCCAGTCAAGTGGAACATTTTCTTCTGTGGGATCTTTCTATTGGTGCAAAGATGTTTGTGGTATTCTGCGCCTTCCTGCTTCCCGTACGTGATTACTCTGTAACGAACACAATAAGATGAGCCCAACTGAGGGCTTGACATTACACAGCCTTGTATTTCATACACTGTTGTGTTTGTACAGTAGTACGTACAGTATGCTGAGGGGTTTATAGACATGAAGGACCAGAAGTTTACATTCCTCAAAATAAATAAATAAGGACCGTGTTGGATACAGTGAGCTTCATTTACAGTTCCAACAAGTCGCTATAGTGGCCAATTTACTTTATTATTATTATTGCTGTATTTATGCTTTTTTAAAGCATATTTTATTATTATATTAAATGGTCAACACCGTCAAAATGTCTAGTCTCCAACCCAAAATGAAGTTTTACAGAGGACACTATTAGTGACATGTAGCTGGTCTTTGGCTGCTGTGGTAACTCACTCTAATGGTTTACATAGATGATAAACACAGATGAGCTCGCATTCAAAATGTATCTGGAAATTATATTATAACTTTAATGGTTTCTAGTCGCTCATCTCAAACTCATCTTTTTTAAATTGGCAGGAGGAGAGCTGGTAATGCTAGCAGCACTGGAGCTAACGGCTAATGTACGTAGGTTTTATTGAGAATATCTCAAAGTGATAGTTGCTCCATTTTTTTTGTGGATCTGATCTTTGGCTTTAAACACGTGATATGATTGAGATCCGGACGTCTTTTCTTTGTGTTTGTTGTTCTGTTCATGAGAACTGATAAAGAAGTTGTTAGCATTAAGTGCTCGTTAGCATTAAGACAGGCTGTTGCTCTCCGTCCTGCTTCAGAGGCCAAACTGCGTGCAGACGTTCATCATCATCGTCATCATCGTTTACAGTCTCTAGAAAGATCTATAAGAAGAGGCCAAGTATCAATGATTACCAAAAAGACCGTTCATGGCTCAAGCGATTATTTTGGAGGTTTGACCACCTAAACACAACAACAGGAGACGTGTGTTGGTCTACGTTCACACACATCATCTCAGAGGACGGATAGAAACACACAGTGTCAAAGCTTCATGGTGGGAACTATCAAACACACTTGTCTTTACATTGGGGCTGGAACACGGTGTGATATCACTGATGCTGTGGTTGCTGAGGTACCGCTATGTGCGTGTGTGTCTACACATGCCTGCATTGACGTTCACACTTCATGCTGTTTCCTCGTTCAGCCTCTGATTCTCTGTTGATCTACTGACCACAAATAAACTGCTTTGTGTGACTGCTGTTTGGTGGCCTGTACGAGAGAAAACAGACCTGGATGAAGGGGTGTTTCCATTATCCTGTGTCATGAACGTTATTT